TTATCGGTTCGGCTTCTGGGGTGGGTTTTGGAGGGGGGGGTAGCATATATATATATATATATATGTATATATCTATCTAGAATATATATATATATATAAATAGACGGCTGCATGTCGGGCACGGTAGGTGTGACAAACTTCCTCAAGTCCCACCCTGACCTAACTCAGTCATAATGTCGTATGATGGTATAACCGCATAACATCTTTATAAGTCAACATATTACGGTATTCTACAACAAAATGTATCACAAATATAAATACAAATACTTCCCTATATATCTATAGACATGCTGTACATGGTGAAGTGTGTTTGTGCAAAAACGTATGTATATACATTCGGCACATACATAACACACACACACATATATATATATATATATGTATATATATTTATTTATTTATAGTACATACATATGTGTACTTAACGTGTCCATATCTACACGCACACACACATACATGTACATATATATATATGCATAGATGCGCACAATATATATATATATATATACACAGACAGGCGCAGACAGAGACAGACAGACAGAGAGAGAGAGAGAGAGATAGATAGATAGATAGTTAGATAGATAGCTTTATGGGTATATGCTGAGATATGTATACATATATATATATATATACACATACATATACACGCCTATGGGCCTATGTGTATACATTTACACATAATTATACATACATACATACATGCATACATTCATACATACATACATGCATACATACATACATACATACATACACATATACAGACACGGGGATAGAACGGCATGTAAATACATATATGTATTTAGATGGCACAAACATACATAACAACAAATCCCAGCACAATGCTATGCAATACGAACAGCGGAATCTACAATATTCATAAAAACAGTATATCAACATAAATCGTGACAACAATAACGACATCAATATCAACAGTTCATATTATCGCAACAAGAACAGTAATTATTGTTATCACGATATACAGAACAGAAGCCGGGAAAACAACACTATAACTTGTTTGGAACGTTCTGTTATCAATGTGAATACTAGTTCAGATCACCATCATTGATCACATGATACCAAGAGTAAGTATAGCATGCATACATATGTTCTTACATGCTGCATACATACATATCTATCTACCACTGAAGAAATCGCAGGAACAAATCAATGCCCAGAAATCCTCCCAACCATTGTCGCAAAATCTCCAGCTTCAACCATAGCTTAAATTTCCATCCCTTGTCTTTTTGCAGGTTCTGGGCAGGCAACTGTCAACCTATACTTAAAGGGGCGTGGCAGTGCTTAAGGCACCCCTCATACTTAACGCAAGCAGACCGACGGGCAGCGCTCGAGAGGCTCTCGGAGCCAAGAGAAACGACAGCCTCCTGGCTCGGGCACTCCGCGACGAGGGCGCGGCGTATCGTTCCCAGGGACGAGGGGAAATCATGAATTGCAACTTGGGGCTCCTCAGGCCCTGTCTCAGCTCTATATACACTACCACTACAAACGGGTTCATACTGTAAGGTCCAGTGGTGTGAACATGCGGCCGGGATGGAGTGGGAAGTGACCCTGAGGCCTCAATAACTGGATGTCTCAGGCTCAGGCCTTGGCCTGGAGGCCAGAGGCCTTGCTTTGGCAATGTTGGCTCCGATTGGCCTATTGGTTCCTAAATCCTTTCTCGGCCCTGAGATCCTACAAGCTGTCGAAGGATTTTCGGATCCGACAGCAACACATGTCATGAGGAGCATGCCCGAGTAGCATTTAGGACTTATGCAGCGTTCAAGTGTCTCAAGCTGAGATGGCTCCAGGCCCCATAGTAGGATGGAGGGCCTGAGGGTGCAACATGCGCTAACTCGCCGAGTGGGTGCCTTTCGCTGCATTTAGTTCTTTGCCGAGGTTGGCGGTCTTGGAGGACTACGACGAGGCCATCAGCCGCTGGCGCCCTAGCACATGCGTGAGCACGGTATGCTTTCATCCTTGAGCTAGTTCAGAGGTGGGGATTCCCATTGTATTAGGTGTAGTAGGTTAAGGTTCCGATAAGGAAGCACGCATGGTGGAAGGCACCACAGGCGCCCCTATATGGCAAACCAGTTCAAGCCCCGCCAGCCCCGAAGCATTTCCATTGTTACAATCTGCTGAGGAAGACCTGCTGCACATTCTGATGGGTTGTGCTGATGGTTTCTGGTCCTAATGTTGACGGTGATGGTGATGGTAGTGCCGATCATGCGGTTTGGTGATGGAGCTGTCAGACCCTATCTTGGCCAAGTGAGCAGCCCTTTGCATAGCAGGCTCCCTGAAGAAGTCAGGTATAGAAACTGCAGTTGAAGATGCTCGTCGTTTTATGTTTCAACAAGGCAATCTTGTCCGCATGCCCTGCCTCCGAGACGGTCTAGCAAACACACGCGAGGTCATAGCAAGGGTTGCAATCCTAATGTCTTGTCCGTGGCGACGCTTCGAGATTGCTTAGCCCCAAACCCTCCTCGCCCCTCTGAAGTTGATGCATCGGCCCTGAAGCATTCACTGAACCCTCGGAGTTTCAATGCTCTTAGGCACTTTGTGTGATCCTTTGTGTCAAGCTCTTCAGGTCTCAAAGAGGCAGCTAGCACGGCCTTGAGTGTCCGGCCCCCGTTTGGGCTGAACGTGGAGCTCGGGTTTGGGTTGTACATAACGCTCAGGCAACCGAGCCCCAAATCACTGCCACTCTTCCCTTTTGTAGTAGGCAGCAGCACTTCAGGGCCCTCGTAACGCAGGCGTCAGTCTAGCCGCACTTCAGGGGTACAGGGCTTTTGTTTGGACGGGGCCAATCCCGAGCCAGCGATAAATCGACCTGACCCTCAAACCTGTCAGCAACAGCATTCATCGGTGTTGCACAGTGGTGATGTCGATCTCCGAAGAAGTAGCCAACGCATCCAAGGGTTGCCAGGCACGAGGATCCGAAACTGTCTCCTGAGGTCATGTGCGAATGTGATCCCAGACATATTTCGCGGTCTCGGTTTGAGCACACCAGGGCTTGTCATCAGTGACTCCCTCCCGCTACGCCCAGGCTGACGACTTGGCTACTCAGGCGGCCTTGTCTCGGGCTGTCAGTACTCCAGAAGCGATGCTTGCTTTTCTCCAAAGCTCTTCGGGTGGAGGAAATTCTTGCATGCCAGTGTGAAGGTTTGGGACGCGATTTGGACCGGGTGCAAGTGCTGCTGAGCATGCGCAGCGCTCTGTGCGAATGTGTGGTTGAAACCTTCATGAGGTGGATCTGCTCCTAGCCACCTAGCCGATCGTGGACCGATGCGGGTCCTTGTGAGTCTAGAGTCTATAGGGTTTCAACGCGGGGTTGGAGGGTGGGGCGGCCGGGCTGCCGTCAGGCCTCTATCAAGCGGTTCGAGGCGGACGTGCATATCAATCGCAGTAACTTCAAGGAGGTCCGAGCCTGAAGACGCCGAGAAGACGTGGCTTAGGGCTGTAGGGTTGGGGTGCAGGCTTGACAAGGCTTTTGAGATGGGCTTGGTGAGAGTTTGTCAGCTTTCGTGCGCGGAGAGACATGCCTTTTGCGAAGCCGCTTGAGAGACCAGAAGCTCTACATTTGCCGCACTGATAGCTTCCATTAGGCCATCCGAGACAAAAGTAATCGTGCAGAATCCTCTGCCTCATCCCTACGCCACTCGGCACCCTCAGCACCGTGGACATGTTCTGCCCCGCCGGATCTGTTGCGTCCCCTGGGAACCCACAAATACCGTGATTTTGTAACATTCGTCTAGTTGTCGTCTGAGGCGCTGTCTGCTGCCAGGGATGCTTTAGAAATCTCGGAGAGGCAAGGGGACAAGTGCGGGACTTACTTGCGTTTCGCAGGCCCGATTCAAGAACTGCCAGCTACATAACATGTTCGATGGACAGTTGTGTTCGTGGGGATGATGGGAGTATCGGCAGTGCTTGCTAGATCCTGGTGATGGTGGTAATGGTGATGCTCATCAGCATTGTGAAGAGTGCCTCTTCTGCTGCATTGGCTCTCTTGGACTATAACTATAATTTCTGTTCCAGAAGCCCTAAAAGTTCTATCATTTGCACGGCGCTCGCCTTTGCTACTACATAAATCGTACATTGCACCCATACACGGGCCTACATGTACGTAAGCAGTTGATGTAAGCAACGAATCCGAGCACGAGATGAAAAGGCCATGAGGCTGCACTCGTAATAATAATACACCTGCATGTCTGTGTATACGTGTTTGTGTGTACATGTGTGTATATATATATATATATATGTGTGCGTGTATATATATATATATATACATTATTTCATTTATGTTTATTCACATATTTTTATAACATTTAAGTATAGGTTTACATTCGTAATTCGTAAATATATATGCATGTGTATATATATATATATAGTATATGCGCATGCGCATGCGCACACACACACACACACGAAGACGCATGTCTCTGTTGGTGCCTGCATGCTGCATGCTGCATGCGTGCGTGTATGTTTGTTTTTTGGAGTTGCTACATATATCTTGTGGTGTATAACAACAGATAGGCGAAGACAGAGAGGAGGAGAAATTCAATCCCACAGTTAATTACACTTGTCGATACAGTGCCTATGATGAATCGTTCAAGCGTTTCTTGCTCATTCCACCCTGTGATCGAATTTTGGTGGGAGCGTACCATACGGTAGCCTGTCAAGATCTCATGGCATAGTCGCATATGCGCACTGCCACGGAACCTTGCGCGATAACGTCCCTTGGGATTCTGGAATCCGCGCCGACTCGTCCGAGAGAAAGTCCGAATGCCAAGGCGCAGCATGGCTAGAGCTCTTGAGACCGTGAGCACAGCCTTGGGCTTAGCTGTCGGGCTTTGAAGCTTGGGGGTGCTTGGGGTTCCTGTGGCTAGGCAGTTTATGGCAGCTTCGAGAGTCCAGCGTGAAATGGGTTCCGGTTTGGGTGGTCAGGGCACTGTCAAAGTTCCGCTTTCGGCGCGAGTTTCGACACGCGCTGCTAGCTTTGTGGCTAAGATCCGCCTACCATGCCGAGCATGACCTGTAGCCAAAAACACAATTGGCTGATCAGAATCTGTTTGGACAAAAGAGCAACAGTTGAGCCGGCATGCAGGGAAATTCGTCGTTGTGCCCGTTTATCGTACTGGTTGTTTTGTGGCAGTTGTGGTGATCAAAAAGTACTAGGTCTTAGGTTGAGCAGCAGAAATGGCAGCGGCAGTGAAAGAATCCTTCTCTCCATCTGCATTGCGACTTTCCTGGTCCAACCCCAAGCGGTGGGTTACGTATACTATCTCGAGTGGAACTTCGACGGGTACTTCTAGTATAATTTACCGAGGGGGATCAATCATCAAAGACAATATATGTAGGGATTAGGCTAAGATTTTTGAAATCCGGACATCATGCATTTTCCAAGCCTAGTTTCTATTTACGATGTCTGTAAATTGTAAGTGGCGCCGCTAGCTTTGTCAGCAAGGCTCAGGGTGTCCTCAACAACTTCCAGCAGGTGCCGGTTGGGGGGAGGCTGCATTTCAGCCTTCAGAGTGGGCATCGAATATCAATTGGGCGAGCCAAGGCCATGTTAAGTTCTGCGTCATAGTCAAGTCAGGTCCAAGACATTGCGCGGCCTCCTCCTCACCCATGATCTACACCTTCCACATCCCTAACAGTCGAACAGCCGAGTCTTGTTGGACATTCGACTCGAACCCTTCAACCTGGAAAACCAATATGCCCATGAAATGCCCTCACTATCGCTATCTTGGCTCTTCTTGACTAGTGAAACCCTTGCCTTGCATCAGAGACCCCAGAGCCTCCCGGAGCTGGGCCCCCAAAAGCTGAAGGCATTCCTGTAGTGTAGTCGGGCTATTCATGTTCTAAGCATCTTGAGGTACTGTCGATCGACATCCTCTGCTGCCTTCAGCACCCTGAAATTATGTTTTGCAAAGAATGCGGGACTTTGGTCCATCAACAGCTGGGCATGTATGCATCTCCAAAAACGTCTGCAGGCCGTAAAAGAGGCCAAGGAATGCCAGGACCTATACCAGGCCTGGTTGCCGAGAGTTTGGGGGCTTTGGAAGCAGCTCGGGTCCGGTCTTTGTAGCTTTGACACGAAGACAGCCGAGGCCGCCTTGTGATTGAGCAAATTAAAATACCTTGTACCTCAAAGTCGGGCATGAAGAAGTTCACAAGTGCACACAGGCTGATCCGAAGAACCGTTGTTCATTCGGAGATGAGCTGCTAGCCTCCACTCTTACACCGGACTGCGAGATTTGCTTCCTTCAAGTCAAGAGCCCCATCGCTAAGGCTTATCTTTTATTACCTGTACTGTTTCTCGAAAGCAACCAGACAAACTGTCTGAACTCTACTGGAACAGGCAAAGCCGAAACCCCAACCCGTCAATGCAAAAGAACCTTTCTTAGAAAAACATCCCCGAAACAAATATGACCATGGCAGCAGCAATGGTTGCAACACTGCTCGTTAGGGCAATGAAACACTGAAACATCCTGCAATCACGTTTGCCCCAACACTCTTGCGAATTGTGCTGGTGCTAGCCGGAACAAAAAAGTCATACGCGCAGCGATACTTCCCTGGAGATGAAGGTCACTTACGACCGACGCCGACGACCAGTACTGTTATTAGTCCTGCTGGTAATGCGTAATATTAGTTCTCGTACTACTACTACTACTACTGCTACTGCTACTGCTACTGCTACTGCTAGTGCTACTGTAACTACTACTACTACTACTACTACTACTGCTACTACTACTACTACTACTACTACTACTGCTACTACTACCACTGATACTACTACCACCACTACTACTACTACTACTACTACTACTACTACTGATACTACTACTACTACTACTACTACTACTACTACTACTACTCCTGCTGCTGCTACTACTACCACTACTACTACTACTACTACGACGACGACGACTACCAC